TGTTGTGTGCTTTAATTACTCCACAAGAAATAAGGGGCAAGGGATATTGGTAAACAAGTATTACCAATCAATCCTATTCCCTTTTAATTATAATGTCCACTGTGGTCAAAGCACCCTATAATAATTATTGTTTACTCTCTAACAGCAGATGATCTTACTCATCAAGGGCAATTTTGTACCTTGATGAGTAATATGCATACAAAATACTAAACTGTTTCATTACATATTTTATGTCTGAACCTTTGACATTGCAACAAAATAGGTTTGGGTGGGGTAAAAAAATTTTCTGGTATTCCACCGGTGGGGTAGCTAGAAATTTTGTTTTGAAAAAGGTGGGGTAATGATTTTTTCCGGCTTCATTATACTTTCTCTTCGGCCCCCACCCCTGCCATAAATAATGACCGGTCCCTTAGTGTAATATTAATTTCTCACATATTTTTTTCAGAAATAAAGCACCATTGAGCAACTTGTTGCGAAAGAGGAGTCACAAACTGTTGATGAATAGATTTAATTAACTACACATAAAATACAATTTTATTAACAGTATATTGATTTATGGGTTTATTAGACCACATTATTTTCATATTATTAATAATTAAAAATAAAATTAACAAATAAATTACAAAATCAATGTGAAAATATTGCAATAATCAATTAAAATGTCAAACCAGCCAATTGTTTCAAATTATAGCTGTTATCGTAATTGAATATGTCTATGCTATGGACCTGTGGTATCTGCATTATTCTAACATCAAGACGAGGCTATAGGGTCATGTTTTGTGTTTTTTACCCTTTAGCCTCGTTTTCGTCCGTACTTCCACTGAGATACCGCTGGTTCGCCGCAGCGGGTATTCAAATACGATAACAGCTATTATTCATTTGTGAGTGTAACCTAACCCCCTCCCCCCTGAGAGAACAAGAGAGTTGCTGTGGGCCCCTATTATCCCTTTTGATAAGTCAGGCAATCCACCACATAATTTTCCTTTCAAATGCCAGACGAATATACTTGTCAATGCAAGGGGAGAGCTCTGGCACTCTATGGGTTGACCAGTATATGCCTATGCATCCTGTTAAGCCTTTGATAAGTCTGAATGCAACACAATGCACCCTACTTTATTATTCTGTCTAATGGCAAATTTTATTTGTGAAGGGGAGAGTGCTGAATGAGTTAACCCTTTAATTAAGTGGCAATGCACCCTGATGTGCCCTACTTTTAGTATTTTACTCTGTCTTATGCCAGAGTATTTTACTCTGTCTAATGCCAGATGATTTTACTCATCAAGTGGAGAGTGCTGCCCCTCGATGGATGAATGGAATATTATACTAATTGCTTTGAACAAAGGTGATTCCCTTTGTGGCATAAAATTTAACCAGGGCATTCTTCAAGTTTTCAACACATCTCAGGATTTTTCTTGGCATCTGGAAAAGTGTAATAGAATACATCCAATCAGTCATCTACTATATTATCTATATAATTTGATCTACATGCTATTGAACATTATATTTTTTTTTCCCCATTTCAAATATTAAAATACGTCGATCTTTCAGACATAGAAATTAGAGTGTTGTGAAATAAGCATCCCCACCCATGTACTATCCATAAATTCATATTCGTCAAGAAAAATTCATGTCTATTTGCTGGCCTTTTTATATATGAACTAAAACTTTACTTGTACAACTATCTATTGGAACCTTCGCAGAGATGCCTCGATCCTATGTTAGCCATGAAAAAAGATTAAAATTGTCTGTTAAAATCACAACTCAAAATTGTAGTGTGAGCCTTGCAAGCTTTTATTCAACATTTACTCCAACAGAGATACTTGTTAGGAACAGTTTTGATCTTTTTTTGTGCCCATTACAACCATATATTGGGCCTCCTATGACAATATATTAAAACCCTTGTCCATCATTTTAAGCCTTAAGGCATTTCTATTACAATACTGTATGTGAAAATTGATGTTGGGGCTGTTGGATCTTTGGGTAAGAACTCCAGAGGAAAACAAAAACTATAACCTACCCAAATGGCAAAATAAAACACAACGAAAAGTGATAAAGGCAGAATAACACCAGCTGCTGTACAGCGTCGTTATATTTGTAAATTTCGTATCCAATTTTTTCTTTTAAAAAACAGAATTTAGTACAAATGAAGCACAGAGAAAGAGTTTAATATACATCTTACCGGTAATAAGAAGTGTCTCTTCTTGATATTAAAGAATTGTGGCATCATGAAGCCATGCAAAAACTCGGCATTTTTTCTTGATGTTTTTTATATAAATTTTCAGCAGAGTTTCAGCTTTTTTGTGCAAAAACCAGGGGGGTGAAATTGTCGTCTGAAACCGAGGATCGCGGTTGGTCAGTGGTAATTACCACGAGGATTTGGGACCAGTGGCGTCATTCTGGCGTCAGCAGACGTGAAAATCCGCCATGTTTTTGGCTTCACCTTTTGATGCCGAGCACTTCCTCCAGTTATATTATAGCTCAGTGGATTGAACGCACCTCCTCGTTGCAAGTATGTTTGTTGTAGAGTCGCTCATGCAGTCCCTCACGCAGTCGCTCATGCAGCTGCATGTATAGATTAGAATATTCACTTACTTTTGCAAATGCAAGTTCGACAACCATATCTATCAATAACAAATCCTCCCGGGCAAGGCTTTATACACTTCAAATATAGACATGTTAGTCCTGAAATCAAGAGCAGTATAGTTGTTGCTATATTATTACATTCAGGGGTGTTACAGTAGAAGAGGGGAAGCTCAGGGGGGGGGGGCTCAGTCCCCCTCTTGATAGGAGCTGAGGGGGCTCAGCTCCACTTGTTAAAAAATTCATGCCGATTTGAGGAGGAAGGTAACCTCCCAATATTTTTGCAGATTGCGTAAGCACAACCAGGAAAGTTCTTTGCAACTGTAATGTACAATGCAATGATGCGGTAATGATGTTAGTAATCTGTACAGCACTTGATTACTATGCCGCATACTATTAGGTCATGTATGTGGCTCCAACATGAAATAGCTTCTGTATATATATTCTTTCTTCAAAAAACACCAATTGAAGAACTACTAGAACCAATTAAAATAAACACTGGAACTTTCCATGTTTATCATGTTGCAGTGTTGCACTATTCGCAGGGCCTCCATTGATACCAGTGTTGTTACACTGAAGTGGTTACCCTCGCCTTGTCACCCTCACATCTTGTCACCCGCTCCCCTTGAGCCCCCTTGTTATCGTATCAGTTCTACACCATTGATTACCGTGTAAAAAAAACTGATTGGTTAAGATAACCAATAAACTGATCATCTATTAAAATTCAAAATGAATCTGAGATAACCAATTAATTATTTGATTGTTCCAACTTTGCATTTTTCACATATGTGCATCTATAATCGATCAGTGACAAAACACATAGGTCAGCTAGCTTATGCAGGAGCTCAGCTTATTTGTATAATTGTTAAATTTGTAAGTCTCATCTTCCTCTTCCCTTTCTGGCCCCTTAAACGACACTTGAAATAAATATGTGCCCCAAGGGCTTATACGACGTGAACTTACTTTATACTTTATAAACATATAGACAGACAGACAGACAGGCAGGCAGGCAGGCAGGCAGGCAGGCAAGCAGACAGACAGACAGACAGACAGACAGACAGACAGACAGACAGACAGACAGACAGACAGACAGACAGACAGACAGACAGACAGACAGACAGACAGAAAGAAAGACA